CTATGCCCTAATGTATTGTAAGTATTGTATTAAAGTGTAGATACGGCTCGGCTGCTACTGTACCCTTGGCCGTGTACGGTGGTGTACGTATTTACGCAATCTTTAATCGCGCTGGCTAAGAATAACTTGTTTATATACAATTAATTAACATATTTTCCGTGTAAGACGTGGAGGCGTAGGGGAACAACACTCAGCGTGTATGCTGAGGATCGTGAGTTCAAGTCCGGAGTGCGCGCAAACGAATTTGAATTTTTCTTTTTGCCGAAATTGAAATTTTTTCTCGTTTATTTACCTGTCGCATAGCTAACTATATGCATTGGGAAGATGAATTTAGATGCATTTCGATGATTTTAGGAAAATTTGATGTAATTTTGGTGGTTTTCTGCTTATGAAAAATTCTAGAACCAGTCTCCGAAATGCGCGCATTTTTGAACGAATAGTATACTATAGTACAGCCCGGCTGGCAGCCGAGCAATCGGAGACAAAATTTCCGGCTGTCAGCCGGCGTCAAACGCGCTAATCGAGTCATTACCAAACTTTTGTTCAAATTTTACTAAATTAAGAAAAATTTTACCAAATGTCGGCTTCCCAAATAATTACGTCATGATAATGCCAAAAAACAATAGTTACGTCATCAAAGTAGAAAAAATATTCACAAAAAGTGTCTCGAAATACTTGTTGCTTTCATCGTATTGCAGATTTTGCTAATGATAAGGCTTTATTTCTTAGGCTTGGCAGTTCTGTTCATCACTTTGAGCACGTTATTAAAATTAAACAAGACGCCGACTCGGCGTTAACCTCGGGTCGGTGGATAGCGCACGTCTGGTAAATATGCAAAAATCGTGTTAATCACGATAGTTTAATAGTTCACTAGTATAAATGGTGAATCAGTCAATCAAAGCTCGGTTTTAACATTTTATTGATAAAAATTACTGACCCTCATCTCCTTTTCTCTCTGCATTATATCAGCGAATGTCGAGACGTTTTAACGTTCTACTGAAAAACAGGAGCGGTCTTTTTAAATGTATAGGGAAATTCCGGCGCCGGCCCAGGGGTAAATGTTTATACGGGCTAAAATAGCACACAGCGTTGTTGGGGATAATGCAGTGTGCATCAGTGCACACAGACATTATTAGCAATAATGTATCTTCGTCACCCTGACATGTACACGCGATAACGTGTAAGGTGACATTGCTAAAGGCCCCTCATACAATATCGTCGGGTGCCTGAAGCACTGCCAAAAACGGTCACCGCGAGTTTTTCAGTTCAATTTTATAAAGAAATAGTTTCGTTTGCACTTGTGGGATTTTATCCTAGATATACGCATGTGCAGAACACGCCATAAGTTCTATTCCCGTGTTTATCCAGTTTAATACGCTCTTTGAATTAACTTCATCATTAATGATAATATATAAACTAGCACACTATAATTGACCTCCGCTTATGAAGATTTTAATTTAGGGCGATTAATTTTTTTTCTGAAATCTGTTCTATCACGATGCACTACAGTGCCTATGGTTATGTTTATATGCAGTCCTCACAAATGTCTAGTGTAACGTTGGATATGTTCATTGTCATACGGTCCCGACAAGCAGCAAAGTACAGTAGTCTTCCAGCCGAAAATAATTACTTTTGATTCGGGTCAGTAATTATAATAGATAATTACTATGGCCAACTGGCATTATTGGATATATTGCAGTCAGCTTCTGCCTTCGGCCTCAGATGGCTGCAATATATCCAATAATGTCGTTGGCCTCAATAATTATCTAATAAATAGTTAAATAAACAGGAACAATTTAGAGAATTTACTTATGCAATTACTGCAATTATTTAACTGTATTTATTCATTATTTGGGATATTTTGTGGACGAGTGAATGCTATACATAGCTAGCTTTGTTGATTGCACATAGCAGAACGACAGTCACTTCAGATATTTTTAAAATATATCAAAGTACCGAAAATATATAATTAGGTGCATATAACTGATCCATCATTAGTAATAGTTGTCCCATAGTCGAAGAATGTAAAGAGTGGACAGTTGGCAAAATTGTTGTCTACCAGTTACAGTATTAAAGAACCATCCATAAAATGCTTAGCAGTATCAAACAAGTGAAAGTTGCATGGCCGCGGTATTCCCATGCTATGCATACGAAGTATTGTACATTATATCAACATATACCTGAGAATAGTTATCCAGCTAAACATGTATGTCAAAATTATCACATCTTCTGATTTTAAATCAACAATTTTGACGGATTTTGTGCAAGTACAGCTTCGGGTTCCGTTTCTGTTTGGTGCTTGCCGGAAGTGCACTTATTTTCCGGAAGTTGTCGTCATCTCCACAGGCTCTTCGACTACGCGCTCGGCTCGACACAAATGGAAAAAAAATAGGAGCCGAATTTATGACCTCGGTGTCGTACCGACCCGAGGTAACAAGAAACACACATTTTTACCAACTATTTTTAATAATTCAAACCTTTCAGATTTTACCAAAATTTTACCAAAAGAAACTCATTACCAAATTTTCTTGAAAATTCACGAAATTTTACCAAAAGTAAAACTTTTTACCAAATCTGGTCACACTGATTAAAATATAATAGAATACCACATAATGACCACGTGATGATGTTCCCGCATTTTGCGCGGGGGATGACAGATTATGGGAGGGCCGCTTGCGGCCTGAAGTATAAAATGAATTATATGAAGATAAAGGAGACGAGATATAACAATGTAATACCACTTTATTTCACTCAAAATAGCGATACAAAGAATAACTTTAACCATTAAACACAATATCAACGTCACACTCCCAAAACCCATTGCGCGCCCAGCTCCTTCGCCATTTTATCTAAGCACCTGAAAAAACAAACAAACAAACAAACAATAGTTAACTTCACCTAAACCAATAGTTCATGAGCTTAATTTTCTGAATAGCCGGGAGGAGAGGGAGAGGAACATTTTTATATCTCGTCTCCTTTATCTTCATATAATTCATATTATACTTCAGGCCGCAAGCGGCCCTCCCATAATCTGTAATTATATTTCAGAACAGTCGCCTCGATATAACAATGTAAGTTCAAAGCTTCTCATGAACTGTTGGAAGACGCACTCAAAATATTATGTACAACCGGTTGATTATAAACTGGTCTATAGTAAAAACGAATAAACGTGGAATCTGTAGTCCAGTCCGCCAATGCTAAAATATCCTTAAGAGAACAGTTATTTCTAATAGCTGCAGAAGACGTGGCACTTCGCGTTGAATGAGCCTTAAAAACATTCGTATCTACTCCTGCATTTTTTAGAAATTCTACAACCCAGCGACTGAGAGTATCTGAAGTTATTGGCTTATGGGGTCGAATGTAAGATAACAATAATCGATTTGATTTTTAACTACCTACTTGAGTTCGAAATCCCTTCGTACGTTTTTCATATTCCCGTAGACAATTTACTACACAAAGATTAGGGTCTTCTGGAAAACTTGCATGAAAAGATTTCTTAAAACCATGCTGAAAACGAGATTTTTTAACCAGTTCCGGTAGCTCAAACACTACGCCTTCTGGAAGAAAACGTCTAAACCGAAGGTCATGTGCCACAACTTCCGAAACCCGTTCCAATGAGGTTATGGCTAACAAAATGCCCAACTTTTGCGATAAGCATTTAAGAGATAACGCTTCATATATTACCCAGGGATTTTATATGATCAATCACCGTTTGGATATCCCATGTGACAGAATAACGTGGTAATGGTGGTCGTGAATTGAACATTCCTTTCAATAATTGAGATACTAAAGGATGTAAACTGTCAATCGGCGGGTGTGTCATTGAAATGGCCGATCGATACACATTCAAAGTTCGGTACGCTTTCCCTGAATCAAATTCAAAGGTTAGAAAATCTAGGATGGAAGCGATATCTGCGCAAACTGGATTAATTTCTCGTTCACAACACCAGCTGGCCCATTTTCGCCAAGCTGAGGAATAATTAGAGTCTGAAGTACCCTTTCTCCATGCAGCGAGAAGCAAGTTTTGAGCCGATTTCGAAACACATGCTGCCGTGTATGATTGGCGGATACTAGCCACCCTGCTAGTTGGAGGTTGGTCAGTGGGTGAACTTCCTGTTGCTTTGTTAATAGGCCTGGGAAATGTGGTAGCAGCAGGGGTTGTGCTATGCTCAATTCTAGGAGGAGAGGATACCAAGGTTGTGTTCTCCACACCGGAGCTACGAGAACCAGTGTTGGTACATTTTGTGTTAGCACTTGTTTTAAGCAACGTCCCACCAACGAAAAGGGGGGAATGCGTAGCCCCGAAATTTGCTCCAATCTTGAGCCCATGCATTGAATAACTCCGCCTCTGGGTTCGGTCTCCAGCTGACGAAGCGAGGGAGTTGTTTTGAGAGACGAGTGGCAAATAGATCTACTTCGAGGGGCCCCCAAGCACGATTTAGATTGTCGAGCAGGTGGGGTGCAAGTTTCCAATCGTTGTTGTCGACAAAGACCCGGGACTCCCTGTCTGCCTCTACATTTAAAATTCCTGGGATATGTTGGGCTTCGAGCACAATCTGGCGTTCGAGACACCATTCTCAAAGATCTTTTGCTAGCGAGGCTAGAATTAAAGACCTGGTCCCTCCCATCTTGTTGATGTAATGTGCTGCTGATGTATTGTCCATCAACAGTCGGACCCGCATTTGAGCCTTGTTCTTTGTGAAGGCCTTGAGGGCGAATGCTCCAGCTAACAATTCCAGACAATTTATATGGAGGTGTTGTTCCTGGAGAGACCATCTTCCCCCTGTTGTTTGACCCATGCAAGAGGCTCCCCACCCTTTGCGGGAAGCATCTGTTTCTATTATTAGGTCTGGTTCTCCTGAAACTAGTGCTTTCCTATTCCAGGTTTCCAAATTGTCCCTCCATCAGATCAACTCTTCCTGTGCATGTTGACTGAGTTGGAGTGTTGCCGAGTAATCCTGGCAAGTCTTAAGGCTTTGTTCTTGTCGATTTGTAAGTACCGAAAATGAATTGGTGCAGGGAAGACTGCCTGAATGGTGGACGTTAGGTAGCCCAAAAGTTGGGAATGTTGTTGTATTAATGGCAGTGGGTTGTCTAGAATTGACTGACATGCTTTTTTGGCTTTCTTTATCTTCTCCTTTGGAAGAGATAAAGTCAAGGTTTTTGAGTCTACAAGAAATCCCAGAAATTCTATAGTTGTTGTTGGTATTAGAACTGATTTCTGGTAATTTATGGTGAACCCCAGGCTTTCTAGAAGGTTCACTGTCGTAGCTGCATGACATTTGGCCATTTCCTGAGTCTCGGCCATAATCAGCATGTCGTCTAGATAAATTATAACTCGAATTGCGGAGCATATGGATGTTTTCCATTTTGAAGTGTTCGTACTTCACAAATTGATTCAAGCTCCTCAAATTTATTACTGGTCTCTGACCACCCCCTTTTTTGGGGGACAAGAAATAGGTTGCTGACAAACCCCTCTAGTTTTTGATCCACTGAAACTGGGTGGATGGCTCCTTTTGTCAATAAATCCTGAACCTCGTTCTCTATTAAATTGCTTTCCTCCAGGGTGTGAATAATGCCCGGAGGATACCTTGTCTGATACGGGGGACTTATGAAGTCTATTTAATAACCTTTTATAGCTTGTAAGACCCAGGGGTCTTTGCAGATTAACTGCCAATTTACTAGACAATGTTTTAGTCTGCCTACTAGGGGCAGATGAGCTAGGTTTAATTGTTTTAGATTTAAATTGATGCCTGCAATAATTTGAACTGAATGAACACCTACCTGATTTACTGTTGCTGGTTCTGGATGAGATTGGGTTGGTAGCCCCTGCCCCAAGACCCTCGGGAGCGGGGGTGACCTCGGTTGTAACTGTTCCGTGGAGCACCTCGGAATGCACCACCCCCTCGATACCCTCTGCTCCTGAAAGGGGGGGGGGGGTGCGACCTCGAAAAAACGTGGTGTTTTTACCAACATTGGCTGCTTGGAACAATGTCTTAGCAGTTTCTGAGCGGGCTTTTAACCGTTCTTCAAACCCATCACCACAAAGGCTTTTCTTGGCATCAGGAAACTCTTCAGTCGCCAAAGAGGTAAGAGTTCCTTTGGAATTAATCTTCTTTAGGACCAAACTACGCCTCTCTTTT